GTCGATCACTTCTTATACACGAAAAAAATCACTAACAAACAGTTAAGATAAAATGAGTAAAATAAAATTTATTAGCTAAGCACATAATGCATACAGATATGGCTTGAAACAGATTACCATTTCAATATATGCACATGTATACACATTATACGATGCAAAAAACATGTGTTCTATACTTTTGTATAGTGCCCGCGAAACTTACAACGGAGTTCACATTAATTATTCGGCTTGGGGAACCTCTGATAAGGGATGGCAAGAGTAATATTGAAAGCAATGCAGGTGCCAAATGATTCACTTGCAGGTGCTCTTCATAACCATCTTTAGAAAATTTTTGTGGCTCTAGAGACAACAAACTCAAATTAAGCCAAGACATTGGCACATATTTCTTCACCAAATAACAAATACTATTATAATCAAAAGAATGCAATTGCCCCACAACTACAATAAGATGAATGAAAAGAAATGAATATTTAGTTATTTTATTTTCTGAAATCGGAGTTTTAGGATCATAAAAAGCATTTATACTCCTAGGAATAGTCTGCATGAATGTTTATAACAGAAAAAGGTGCATAAGAGCTGGAAACAAGTATAGAAATAGTAATCAATGAGCCAGGTGAATGTTCCATATCACTAGAAACTTCAACAAAAGGCATTGTGTTCTCAAAATATAGAATAACAAGCACATATAATGACGATAACAAACTATTTCAGTGACAAAAGTACTCTCATCATCATCAATATAGTTCCTGTTACCATCTCCTCAACTGAAGAAAGTTTTACTACGAAAAGTAACTGACATTTGTAAATAACCTCTGATAATTCATACGTGCCAATAAGGAAATGGAAAATAATACAGATGAGTTAAAAATTACTAACCTCCTATGGAAAATATTCCTGCGTTATTGATAAGAACATGTAATGGTCCCATACGAGCATTATATGCTTCAGCAAATTTCACGACAGAATCTAGAGATAGAAGATCAAGTTCCATTACCTAGAAAAACCAACACATATCACTCATTATACATAATTAGCTACTTGTTCTATTATAAAAAAAAAAACTGTAGAATTTAATGTTTTCTGGATAGGAGTTGTAGAATATCATTTGAAGTTCAGAATTCGTTTGATGCAAAGCTACAGAGTTCAATACGATTGCTCTTCTAGAAGGAATTAAACAACTGTGGATTTTAGACACCTCAATATTAAGAGGAAGGCCCATGCCAGACCATTCATTTTGCCATTTCTGAATCAAGTCAAGAGCAGCCTTTGGGTTCCTCACTGCCATGACAACATGTGCTCCTGATTCTGCCAGTTGCCTGCTCCATCGAAAATTAAAGAGAAAAGGAACAAATAGTTACCAAGTAAGGAACTGCATAAGAGTCTACTGATTCACGAAGATCAAGGAACGGAAACCCCATTCCGAATGAGCCGCAAAAGAATCGGACCCAAATAAGGGGCTCCAATCACAACCAACTATACACAATAAGAATTCGAGAATAGTAGGAAGTAACTGGTTCCATAAAATTGAAATTCGTCGGGAAAGAGGCCGAGTTAAGCAGGCGGAGGAAATGAGAGAAATGAAAACCTGGCAATCTCGCGGCCAATACCGCTGGTGGATCCGGTGACAATGCAAGTAAGGTCGTTAACGGGAGGGAGTGGCATAGGATTCTGCAGATGGCTGGCCAGGATTCTCTGAAATAGCATCTCATGAATGACGTACATCCAACCTCTCAACCATTCAATCCAGCCCAACGCCCCCTTTTTGCTGTTCTTCTTCTCCTCCTTCTTCTTCTTCTCCTCCTTCTTCTTCTCCTCCTCCTTCTCATGCTCCATATCCTCCTCCTTCTTCTTCTTCTTCAGTTCATCAGAAGAAGACGTCAACCCCTCCATTAACATACAGTTGCTGCTCGCTAACTTCAATGTTGAGATCGGAACTCGAAGACGAGCAACCTCTCTCTCTCTATATATATCTCTCTCAATTTTGTATTTTCTTGGTTTGGCATATACTGGAAAGTCGGAGGTATGTCATGTGTGTGGCCACTGCCTGTTCTACCGTCCACAATGCATCTAATTCTAACCCTTTCTCTCTTTTTTTCGTTGCTTTTCCCTCTTTTTCTTTCTTTTTTCCCCCTTTTCCACCAAAATTCGGATTCTTCTACCTTTTGTTATCTCCCAAGCAGCAACTATGGTTAAATTTCTACCATTTACAGGCAAAAATACATATTAATTTACAGTCTCAAGGTATATGGAATGTTGTTCGAAGGCGCTGACGACCAGAAGAGCTACCATCTACCAAGCAGTTTCAAATGACGTCTTAGCTACAATCAATCCTAAAAAGTGTGGTGAAATTAAGTTCAATATCCTTATTATTTCTTTTTGTATTTATTGAAAAGATATTTTAAAATTTTAAATGCTGTGGTTTATAAATTTCTAAAATATTCAAGTTTTATTAAAACTAATAATTATAGTATACATGAAATTCAATTTCATGCTAATAAAACATAAATACTTAATAGGTCTATAATTTTATTTGAAAAGATGAAGGAGGTCAACCACCTGTTATTAAAAAAAAGCAAAATTAAATAAATATTGTACTTTTTTGAGGTCCGAGTTGAAAGCCTAAAAATTTATTTATTATTTTTTATAGTTTTATATTAAATATTCACAATTATAATAATTTAACCAAACAAAAACAATTTTGATATTTTGATATTTTGATATTCATCATTTCCACAATTACCATTCAGCCATATATGCTTTCCTCCTCGGTCGCTTGCCCTAGCGACTAGCATCTCCAATTCTGCGTTCTCTCTTCGCATTCCGCAAGCCTCTGCCTCTCAATCCTCCATTATCTGCCTCTCAATCCTCCATTATCTGCCTCTCAATCCTCCATTATCTGCCTCTCAATCCTCCATTATCTGCATCATGGCTCAGACGGCAAGTCGATCCAAATTGCGGTGGGGAGAGCTAGATGACGATGACGGCGATCTGGATTTTCTTCTACCTCCCAAGAAAATTATTGGTCCAGATGAGAATGGCTTGAAGAGAACTATTGAATATCAGTTTAACGAAGATGGTAATAAGGTTAAGATCACAACCACCTCGCGTACTCGCAAGCTCGCTCATGCTCGCCTCAGTAAACACGCCATTGAGCGTCGATCTTGGGCGAAGTTTGGTGACGCTGTGCACGAAGATGTTGGCAGCCGCCTCACTATGGTCTCCACCGAGGAGATCCTTCTGGAACGCCCTCGTGCTCCTGGTTTGTTTTCGATAAATCTAGATTTAAACTATTCATTGCCGTTGGTAGATTTCGGAAATGTTAGTATATGATTTCTGTTGCAGCGCATACTTGCTTATAAATTCGTCTCTGAATGTGCCGTTTTCTCCCATGTGGGAGAGCATAAAAATTTCTCTAATAACTGCAGAATATGTTGATAAACTGGGTGCTTGATTATTGAAAGCGTGTGAATGTATTTGGTTTGTATCTGAAACAAGGTAGAGATAGTCACTTTTCGATGCCAGGAGGATAGTGGCATAGAATTTGCAGAACTGTGCTTTTTTGTTTCGTGCTTTTAGGAATTTCAGGCTTGTGTTTGGAGTTGAACTGAATAATTCCAATGATCGATTATTGTTTTCTCTAGAGAATACTCAAATAATATCCTCTTGACAAAGGATACACGACATCTTTGAAATCACTCTGTGATTATTAAATTTTTTTTTTTTTACTTCGGTTTTGCGAATTTGCATTTGCACTTTTCATAGGCATTGTGTATGTATGTGCCCATTTAACACCCTGCTCGCATTAGTCCTTTTCTGGAAAAATTAGAAGCATATGTTTTTTGCCTTATTCCTATAGATTTTCTTCTGAGGAATGAAAATGATTACAGGTAGCAAACCAGAAGAGCCGAAGGTTGCAGGAGACCCTCTAGCTCAACTTGGAAAAGGTGGTGCTGTTCTTATGGTATGTAGGACTTGTGGCAAAAAGGGTGACCACTGGACCTCAAGGTGTCCTTACAAGGACTTGGCACTACAAGGCGAGGGATTGGATAAGGCTGCCGCACCAGAGGCGACAGCTGCTGCTCCTGGTGGTGCAACGAAGGGAACATATGTTCCTCCAGGTATGAGAGCAGGGGCAGACAGGACCGGAACCGATATGAGACGTAGGAACGATGAGAACTCTGTTCGTGTCACCAACCTCTCAGAGGACACAAGAGAGCCTGACCTGCTCGAGCTATTCCGACCTTTTGGTGCCGTTAGCCGAGTTTATGTTGCAGTTGATCAAAAGACGGGTATGAGCAGAGGATTTGGTTTCGTGAACTTTGTGAACCGTGAGGATGCTCAAAGAGCAATCAACAAACTGAATGGATATGGTTATGATAATCTCATCCTTAGAGTTGAGTGGGCGACTCCAAGGGCTACTTAAAGTTGCCTTCGCTTTACATGCTATACACTTCAAGGTCGTGTGATTTGGTTACTCTTGTAGGAGGACCCCCGCCCAACATTTTGTTACTTCCGTCTTCTTGAGCTTCCTTACGTTGAGAAAATGCTAAATTAACAACTTCCTTGTACTTGGTTGTAAAATTTTTTAAATTTTTTCCTGCTGTTTAAGTAATGATTTTGATTGCTTAAAGTACTTTTGATATATTTATTGATTTTTCCTTATTTTCACAGCTCACAATTTGACGTAGTTCATTTACTTGCACAAGGATTCATTCTTCCTCTCCAAATCATTATTTTTAACAATAATTTTGCTATTCCAAAAAAGAATGTAAATTAATTTTAAATTTGGTGCAAGAAGTAAATAAAACATTACATGCTTAGTCGAGAAATTTAGTTCTAAATAGGGCCTTGGGTTTTGTATGGTGTTCGATTTATTTGACTTTTATTTTATTTTTATTGACTTTTTTTTTTATTAAAAAAAATATATTAAATAGCAATAAAATCCGTGAAGTGAAATAGATGCAAAAACTGTTACGGTTTTATAAAAGGCGGGAAAGAGGTGTATGTAATGCATGAAATTCAATTTACTCTCCGCTTCGCGTTCAATTTGTCGCCCCTCCTTCTTCTTCTACCCGATTTCTTCCAATTTGCAGAACACACCGTCCCGTAATCGATACTTGGAGGCAGCACTGGACGGACTTGAGAAGCAATTCATGGTATGGTTTAGATTTATCGCCCCATTGCTCTACTCGATTCTTGCGTAGCCATGACGATTTCTCATGATTTATTTTATTTTTATGAATCTTGCTGTTTTCTTTAGTTCAATCTCTTCTTTGTAACACTGTCTTTGTTGATCTTCTGTGTATGTAGAGATTTGGACCAAAATGGAGGCACTGAGACTGGGCTGGGGAGTGAGGGTGATAATCGTGATGGTAATTACGGCGATTTTCTTTCGCTGCGTCACAGCAACCAACCATTCCGTTGGTGGAGCTTCCGGTTGGGATCTGAATTCCAACATCCTGACTTGGTCTGCGGCCACCACGTTCCAAGTCGATGACTATCTCGGTTCGTTCATTTCTCCTCTGTTTTTCCCCTTCCCTTTGAAAACCTCTTCAATGCAATCGTATAATTTGATCCTTGCTAAGTTCTGTTCGATCGGCCCATTGTGAATCGTATAGTTTCTACAAAGAACGCTTAACTTTCTAGGTCATGGTTGTGGATTAATAGAATCTTTATTTGCATGCCTTTTCTTCTTGAACTATATGCAAGTTCCAACTACTGATTGAGTTGACACGAGGGGATGTTTTCCACAAATCCCTTTCTTGTACTATGATTTATAACTGATCACTTGAATTCTTTTGTTTCTGTCGCTGTATCATTCTAATTCTTTTTGTATGCCACATTTGTTAATGCAAACACAGTCGTTCTTTAATACCGCAACTGCATGACTCTGTTTCTTGAATCAATCTATATTAATTGGAACAAAAAATGAAAGCAAGGAATGTAGTGTTAATTGTGCTGATATTACCGGTCTTTATTAGTAGTGGAGGAGTTGGACCGAATCCATAGCTCATGATTTTGAAATAGTTAAAACCAGAAGTTAGTGGACAAAGTTTTAGAGTTTGATGTGTAACCTATTCTCTTTGTTTGATTGGTGTGGGTCAGTGTTTAACTATTTGCCAGTTCACGACGTGCTGGAAGTGAACCGAACAGACTTTTCCAGTTGCCGCACCGTGAACCCAATCAGCACTCACAGTGATGGGAAGACAGTGATCCGCCTGGACCAACCTGGCAGTCGGTATTTCATATGCGGCCGGCTTCAGTACTGCCTCATGGGTCTTAAGCTCCAAGTCCAAGTCCTCCAACGCTTGAGCGACGCCAACAATTCAACGCCTATTGGTGCTAACCAATCTGAGCGCCTAAGTCCACGCCACCCTCCTCATTCTTCTCCACCGTTTCCACAACACCCTCCTCCTCGTTCTCCTCCACCGTTAGAACTCCCACCATTGCCCGACCGTCCGGAGGCGCCATCACCCTGCATTTGTTCCGGGGTGGGCGAGATGATGATGGCAAGCGGGCCAATGAACTGGTGTCTGGTGTTGCTCTTCATTATGCTTGCAACCCGTCCTTGCTTTCATTCCTTGATTCCATAGGCACTGCTTCTCCTTCTCCACCATGTTAGACCCATTTCAGATTTTTGTTTACCCAACCGACACTCCGAATGCGTAGTTCCACGCAGGGTTTGTACTCCTCGGAAACTCCTGCTCTGTTCGCCGGTATGTGATGCAATTCACGGCGAATCCCCCCTTTTGCTTTGGTTATTAACAGTGCTTACACAAAAATAAGAGATTCTTGGTTTGTCTGAGTAGGTTTCTTCTAAATTTTGTGAATGTTAATAATGAAATCAAATGTGCTTTGGTTTGGAGATGGACGTGCATTTTTCAGTTGCAGCTGAAATGGCAATGGAACAAAATTGGGTTGTAATTGTATGTAGTTTTGAGAAACATGCCTAGTTGTAGAACAAAGCATACCATTTTCAGTTCTTTACAAACCTAAACGAATCCCTTCCCTTCCCCATTCAACAACTAATGGTATTCATTTGAAGTTCAATGGAAATGGCAACGAAATTATGTATACACATGAGATGATATAATATCACACACAAGACAGGACAGGACAGGACAGGACAGGACAGGACAGGACAAGGAAGATAATTAAAGAGAAGCTTCAAACAAAATGCACCTCCGAAATATACTTGGTTTTTTAAGCATTATTAACATTTAACGGCTAAGTTTCTGAAACACTAAAAGCTACGTTGCATTGCCTGCAAGAAACGCTGCTCCGATTCTTGCCTCTGTAAGCGAATGCTCTGGTTTACCATTTCTATGAAGGCCTCTGCCCGGCTCTTCAGCTCTTCCGAAGTCAACGATACCTTTCTCCGGAACGACAGCGTTTGGTGGAACCTCTCCGACTTCCTAACCTCATTCCGAGCCCACGCCACCGGGTCTTCCTCGTCTGCGGCGGAGTCAACGGCTGCTCTAATTAAGCGTGCCGGTGGAGGGGAGTCCCATGTCTGGCTCTTCTTCAGCTGCGGCGTCTGTTTCCCTTCCCTTTCCATGATTGCCTTCCACGTGGCGTCCATCGAGTCACTGTCACCGCCGCCGCCACCGGCATCTTCTTCCTCCTCCACCTTCTCGCCGGGATATGCACATAACTTCCCCGATGATGGGTCACTGAATTTTTCAGTGAATAGAGTCGGGAAATCCCATTTCACCGGTTTCTCTTCTTCTTTTTGTTCTTCTACTTCTTTCCCCTGTTCGTCCTCGCTGGGGATTCTATCCCAGATTTCTATGGAGCCAGTGATCGAAAAGTTCCGGTCTTCATGCGTCCATTTATAGGGAGTGGATGCAGCAACATGAGTGTTTTCATGAGAGATGTAATTATTTTCGGATGCGTCCTTTTGGCGACGGAAGATGGAGGAGGCGGCGACGGCAAATATAATGAAGTTGAAAACGATGAAGATGTAGGGAGGAGATAGCCATAATCTAAAGGAAACCCATAAACGAGGAAGAGTTGTGATCACAAGAGTGGCTACTTTTGGGATTACAGCCACTTTGAACAAAATTAGAGTGGATATAATCCCAACCGACACCAATATCGATTTAGTAACCGAGATTGCCGTCTCTAATGTCATACTTACAGGTTTTGGCGACGGATCAGCCATGAATTCCGGCGATTCGAGAATTAGGAATTGAAAAGGAGAAGATAAACAGGGTTGAGTTGTAAACAGAGTTAGAAAACAGCATTGAAAACCGCCATTTTTAACATGGAAAAGAAGACCCAGAAATGAAAAAACAAAAGAGAGAAGATTCCTTGAAATAATAGAGAGAGGAACCGGAAAACTGGATCTAAAGGGAAAAATCAAAAGCGAACTTTAGATATGGAAAAGAGAGGGAACTGTTGTTGAGAGAGCTTTACAGATATCAGGCCAAGCTCCATGGAATACGGCCTCCTCCATCAGTGTGAGAGAGAGATTGAGTAGCTGCCAGCGCCAGCGGGGCCTTTTTATTTAGCGGACTGCTCATCTTCCGACCAAACTTTAGCCATTTCCTGATGCATTAGGCACCGTCGGATGTCCCAGCTCATACTGTTCATGTTATGCTGACAAGGACTTCCTATACCCCACGCCCTCCCCTTTTCTTTTTCCTTTTTTTTTTCTTTTGGATAAATGATGGACTCCCAATCTTAGTCTCCAAGATAATATATATTTAATCCATTCCATACAATTAACATTAATCTTCAAATTAAAAACTTGGAAATTGCTCGGATATTTTCCATTCTTCGTTTAATACGTGGACAAGACAATAGCATTATCAAATCAACATTAATACTATATAATTAAAAAAAAAAAAAAAAAAAAAAAAAAAAAAAAAAAAAAAAAAAAAAAAAA